ATATGGAGGGTATCCAGTCGCAAGAAGACCTTTTTTTGTTGTTGCAACGAACATGGGCGGCCATTCCACAGCGTGATTTGGATGAACTCATTTTGAGTATGCCAAACCGATGTTCTTGTGTTGTTAGTGTTCGCGGTAGAAATACGGATTATTAATTGTTTAAGTTACCCAATAAAATTTTAGAGAAAACTGTTATTTCAGTCTTTTTTTCGAACTTTTGTGTTAGTGGTTCAAATGTCAAAAATCCCTTTATTAGGAAAATGGCAAATTTCTTTATTAATGCAAAGGTGACTTGGTTTATCGTTACTGTGACAAACGAAAACACTTTATTTGATGAATCCTTAAAGAAAATTTTAATTAATATCAATCAGGAGAAAAGTTATTGCAAAAATATATGTTGATCCCTAGACACTTTTGATGTGTGTAGTAAAGTAAAAGGATGACACTTGCTATCCTTTTGATAAATTTCTGGAAAACTCTTTTTTAATGGAAAGCAAAAACAAAAACTATTATATTTCTTTCAGCCCACCTAATTCCTTATTTATTCCCTAGTACCTAAGTACTTCATCAGCTAAGTTAGAATAGCATAAAGTAAACTGGTGTTCATCTTTTACAAAATATTGTTTTTGCCGATTCATGGATGTTTATTGTTGAAGAGTTCCCCTGATACTTCACTGTCAGTTCCACTTCACTATAAGCAATGTGTCAAACATTAATTACTTGGCAAACAATTTAAAGTAATCGTATCGCAAGTATAACGTAACGCAATTTGGGGGGGAGGGGGGGTCTTGTAAAACGTTACGATGCATTACAGGGGCGGGAGGGGCGTTCGATCAACGCGTTACGTAACATTGTTTTTTTATTAAAAAAAAACTAGGGGTAACTTCAGGAAAACGTTACTGCACGTTACATGGGGGGAGGAGAGGGTCAAAAATCTTCAATATTTGCGTTAATTGTGCGTTACTTTTGATTAATTCCTGTGGCCAACTTTGGTTTTCTTAAAAGAATAGCGATATTCTACCGTAAAGCACCGTAAGAGTTACCGGCTCCTCAGTGGGCAGCCACTGCAGGGGCTCGTAAGACTTGCGGGAGCCAGGTATGACGTTCGTTCGGCGGTGTGCCTCGTCTGTAAACAGAGGTTTTGCCTGCGTTAAAAAAAGGACTTTGTTTCTATGTACACCGATGTCGTAAAGATTTTTGTTCGAAGAAAGCTATTTGCCATTAATTTCCATTGAAATTTAATTTAGTTTGCCCCAGTAGTTTTAATTTTATAAGCATTTTTGTTTACTTAGACGATGTAAGTTTCACGTTACTTTGTGTAAGGGTTTGTTAAGACGTTTTATGTGCCGATTTTACAATTAAAAATAATATATTTCTAAACAACAAATAAAACCGACTTCAAAAACGAAAGTGGAACTAAAAATAATATCCTGACAAGATTTTAAGGTCTTCTTAAGTCTTTTTAAGTTCTTAATTTCAATTAATCCATTTGAGTCTTTCTTAGATAGCTAGTTCATGCTTACATTATGATAAAGTTATAGATAAAGCTCGGATCTGCTAGTTGTGGGTCCCTCGAAAACATTAGGTCTTGTGTATGTGTAGTTTTTATTATCTCATGTCTCATTTAGATTTTCTAGTTAATATATTTAGAAAGCAAACGTGAGTGTCGTAGAATACTCGGTTGGATCGCGCTTTCCATACTCATAGAAACTCGTGGAAGGTATAATGCGATTCAAATAAGAATAGGAAAGCCAATGACCTCCATCTGTCAAATGTCGCTTGAAAAGTACGGTTTGCAAAAAAATCTCGGAACACTTTTTTAAGCACTCAGCTGATTTTAGACTAAAAACCAAACATTTTTAAACAATAAAATTAATATTAGTTGTTTTTTTCATTTATTGAGCTTTGGCTATGAATGGTTGATAACCTAAATCGTCAACCAAATGTCACTTTGTTGCGTTCAAAAACTCGATTTAAAACTTTCTTTTACATATAGGATGCATGTTCGTATGTGACCTGCATGATTATTCATAACTTCTCCGGTGGTAATGCAGAGATGACCGAAATTGAAGAGCTAGATTCTGATTAATGTTTTTCTTCACACAGTCTTAATAAAGAAATACTATTAAAAAGGAGTCTTAAACTTCACCACGTTTCACCAAGGGGGAGGGAGGGGTTCAAAAAATGCTAAAAAAACATCACGTCATTAATGGACGGCCCCTAAGGCGTTCCAGGGCTCGCGGAGCCGACTACGCGTACCCTAGAACGCGTTATCCTTACGCACTTTATACGCTCTCTGATGTCGCACCGCTTGTAGGAAGAGTTGCCAAATTTTTCAGCAGTCTTTATATTTGCGTAAAAATCATCGTCGCAAAATTCGATGAATGCACGCGGCTAGGGGCAGAAATTAGGTTTTTCTTTTATTATGTAAAATTTTTAGAAGATTTTTTTGACGTGTGCAATTTTGAGGGGAGGCCATGTCCCCTGTGACCCTTCCCTTAGCACCGCGCCTGACAGGTACTCAGTAGAAGGTTATAGAGAAAAAAAAGAAAGTTTCGCGAAACCTAAGTTACCGTGAGACTGTTCTTCGTGGTCGCGGCGTTTTATCACAAAATATTACCCTTTTTTATTACTAAAAAAAAACTAAATTACAGAGAAGTACTTCTTAAATATTATCAGCAAAAATTTGAGATTCGATTTATTTTGTCAAACAAAAAGGTGCGCGATGTGGATTTATCCATTTGGCGAGAGAATTGATTTATTTTATCTATTTATTTATCCAGGTAACCTTCCTAACTTAAGAATTTTTATTAGGTAAGAAATTGTCTAATAGATATGTTGAACGGCAATCTCTCATGTTAATTGATTTATTTTAACTGTTATAATTTTCCTTAAAAGTTCAGGAAACGCACTATGATGATTCATGATTTTTTTTTAGATTTTTCAAGCCAATATTTCAGCTTTTCGAGAGAAGAGGACGCCCTACTCGAACAAAAATTATCACTTTAATAAACGGATCCCTATATAAAAAATGTCATAGCAACCCCGTAACCATTTTAAAGGACACATTCAACGATATCCCCCGCATTGAAAAAAAATCATCCCCACTTTACATGTAGGGGAGCTACCCTAAATTTTTTTTTCTCATATTCTTATTTTACCTCTGTCGGCGTGATTAATATAAGGTATGTATATCCAACAAATTGATAGTTCTCTAGTGCCATCAGTCTCCAAGCAAAACCTTGGACGGACAGACAGACAGTCAGATATGACGAAACTATAAGGGTTCCTTGTCAGGGCTACGGAACCCTAAAAGATACGGGCGTTTATCTGTCTGTCTGTCAAAACCCTTTTTCTCGGGAACGCGTGGAGGTATCAAGTAGAAATTTAAACGACATACTGAAGTCTGGAGTTTTTTTAAGCTGCGCAAAATTGTTTTTAAATTGGCCATTAAAATAATTCCAAATATTAGACATCAAGTAAGTATCTAGGGATCAAATAAACTTCTGAAGTAGTAAAGAAAATGTTTAGTCAATATTTACAAATCTTGTTATAAATTTTCTTTTTATGTCTTAATGTATAACTTAACAAAGTAATCCTTCATTGTATAAAAATAAAGAAAAATTACAGTTTAACCTAACCTAAGTTAACTTTTCATATTTGCGCGTTAGTTGTTGGTGCATTCATGTTTGTTTTCTTTGAGGTGATGTCAGAAACTGCAAAAATTGGCGGGTATATGAAAAGTAGATAAATTTTACTTTAAAAAAATTGCTTGTCTGACAGTTTAACATAATTAGTGGATAATTAAAAAATATAAAGGAGTTGTTAATTATTTACTATGGCCCTCCGAAGTGCTAGTTGTTTTTATTTTGGTTTATATTGAATTTTACGAAAGTTTTCTTTATTTTACATATTTGTGTTTATTGTATCTCCACTTAAGGGTCGTAATAACTTAGGCAGACTTTCAGACAGTACTCTCCTATCTTTTCATTTGTTATTAGGTGTTTTATGTTTGTTCCTAAGCTTCTTAAAGTCGTTTTCATTTAGGTACTTTAAATCTATACTAATCAAAGTAAAATTTCTGTAAGTATAATGTTTATAAATAGGCAAAATGTAAATAAATGTAATGAAAAAATCAGGGATGGTATTCAGTATATTGTTTCTTAAGTTACTTATAACGATCATGAACTTTTCCCTAATTTTGAGTTTAAGAAAGAAAATGGTACAAAAGTTTTTAAAATTTGTAACTATAAGATTTTTTATTATTTCTTCAATTAATACTTAATGCACAAGCGTACAAAGGCGGAATTAATGCCGTAGGCATTCTCTACCAGTCACCCATAGGGTGTTGTGGATAATTAGTGGTAGGGTGCACAACTGAGGTGGAAATTACAGAAAGACGAACAAATATAAATGTGTAGTAGTCATACATATAATTAAGATTGATATGTACTTTTTATTATTATTAGGGTCAAAATATAATATAGGATAAAACCGTTTAAAATAGACTAGACCTTCTACGTAATTTCAAGTTATTTCGTATCTATTAGATACTGGAAAGCTTCCCTCCATTTAGCCCACTTTCAATGGAATTGGCGTGTAATTCAGTTAAGAGTAGGTGCCTACTCGCACTCTATCTTAACCTATACATATATGATACAGTTCAGAAGGTATTGTATTTCAATATTTTTACATTTTGTTTAAGTTTTTATATTTTTTTGTGATTTAATGTTATACTGGAAAAAAATGATAAAACAGATAAGGAAGGCCAGTTAGAGCTTTATTGCATGCAAATTTTTCGGATGAGCTTTCATGGTCCATAGACGTGGCCTATCTCAATCTCACGGAAGGAATTAGGGAATTTTTCAAAGGAGAATTCGTAGTACCTAGTTAAGGATGTGAAATGTTGGAAGGAGGCGTCGTCGGTCAATACTGGAGGTGGTGCGGTGCGGGAGCGGCGCGCAGGCGTGGCCCCCCTCCCCGCGACGCCGCCGCCGGCCCACTCCTCACGCAACTCGCGAGTCAGCCGCCGTGCGCTGCGATCGCGCGTGACATTTCTCCGCCGCCCGCTCGTACCATGTGTGATGAAAACATCACTGAGAAAACCCGTCAACACCCAACCCACGTCTCCTACTATGAATGAACATCTCATCTGAGCCCGTAGAAGAGTGCGCCCACCTATTCTCCCGAAGAAAGCTCTCGCGTGTCTAGTTTTTCTCGTAAACCGTGGCCGTTGACACTGCAGCGTGCGGATCCCGCAGTGCGCGAGTGTGTGGTTAATTGGCGAACTGTCGAAGGCGTCAGCTGAGTCGCGTAAACATTACTGCATAGTTGCATTACCTACTAAACAGTTGGCAATGGCCGGAGGTCCGTTGTCGCCTGCATAGATTGTCAGCACGTGCGTCTCGGAGGAGGTCATCATGCGGCATCTCATTCTGCTATTACTTACAGGTAAACCTTACAAGAAACAAATGAAAGCTACCAATTAGAAAGAAAGATGCTAAAGACAACTTACGGTAGCGTTCATTTTTTACTGCAGAGCTTTTAAGCTTGCTATTAGGTTGCACACTACCTTTATAATTTGTATGATTAAAGTACAGTTAGAACATGATAAGACATGCTTTCTGTGCCTGCTGTAGTTAATAACCTGTTTATTTTCAATCATATTGGTATAGAGTTTATTCTTGCAGTGAGTCCGTAGTTATATTTTCCATGGTTTAGTTTTTTTAAACATTCTTAAAAACATTGTACTGTTACTCATAAAATATTACTTCGATTCCAGCTTTGTCATATTCATTGTTGAATCACAATTTGCATGGCCGCAACGAATTCATTTTCGATTAATTTCTTGCTAAATATTAATCATGAAAAAAATATATACTTATTACGATTGTGCCGGCAATGTCAGCTCACTCATATTTATCATGCTCGTGAAAAATAAGTAATAAGACTGCCAAAAGACCCTCGTCCCTCGCCTCGAAGAACAAATGGCACGGTTTGGGGAGAAAAGAGCAATTGTTTTTGCGTGCGCCAATCTCATTTCACACGAACAATCGCGGTTTATTTTTTATTCCACCTACTCTTAGATGGAAGAATTTTTCTTCGATTTTTTCAAATACTATCGATATGTTTCCACGACTCCTCGTTTTCCGGTTGTCAATCGTTTTATTTTGATTCGGGATCGTCGAATAAACTGTCTATAATAGCCAAACGATTTCGTTAATAAAAGAGCGTTCGATCGTAGTGATCCTATTGTTGAACGGACATCTGTCAGTATCGTCATGCCATTAGTTCCGCGTGTTATACGTTTATTATACGTCCAACTTATTGGTTATCTTCTCTCAAGCTTTAGGCCTTTTCATTACGTCATAATTAAGAAATAGAAAACCGACCGGGTTAATATCTTAAAGCCGTATTAGCTTATCTCTATAAATGATCCGTTATACATAGTACATAGTTATAACTTCTTTTCATTTGGTATTTCAGGATAAAACGGTCTCCAAGAACACTTAGCTAGCAACTATTTATATCCATATTAGCATATTTATTTTACTTTATAAATGTGACACAGATTACATCGCAGCACTACTACTTAATTAATCTGAAGCAAAACTCCCATTTCAACCAACTTGAAACCCGAACGAAGGTCTTAGTTCTTTATTTATGGGCGACGGCGACAGGTGTTCGACGCAGGTAGACACCGCATCGAGCACCAGGCTGTGAGGAGCCATTGTGAAAACAAGAACAAAGTACCTAATAACAATGTCTGTGCAAAATTTTGACAGAAATCTAACCGACACCAAAGTGGCAGTTATCAAACCTCGTTTTACTCCAGAAAGTCTTTATCATTACGTTTAAGATTTCTTTTTTATGTTTTATCCAACTTTAATATACATCTATCCAAGAGATCCCAAACAAATTGCTATTGAAAACTTTAGTTCACGAGCGATCTGTCGCCGAAAACCTGTCCCGAAATCGAATTTGATAAAACTGAAAAAGTTCTCTACCTTCCTAGAAAAAAAATACAAAATTTGAAAAATGCTCGCCCATTAATCTACTGTATCATTATTGTATTTACTCGGTCGGATGAACATCAATATCTTCGTACGTAACGTCATAAACGTTTTCAACTTCTCAAGATTATTTTGATAATGCGATTGTTTCATTATCAACCTGCGCACTTAATGATTTTCCCAACGCGTAGAGCTACTATAAAGAAATTAATTAGCTCTCATTTTATTCGAGCGAAGCCCAAATAACATGAATGATATAAATAGCTAAATACCTAAAGAACAGGCTCCAAAAAATCAGGAAGCCACGTAATTTGACTTAGGAGACGGGAAGTCGGCTCATAAATATATAGTTTTAAATTAAGAGTTGGTGCTGGGTGCAATATTGCAGCTGACTCCATCCTACGCAGCATTGCAAGTTTTTTGCTGCGAGGAACGGATGTAGACCGCACCTGGCTTCGGCTAAACTTTTTTATTGGAAACGAGAGCAGAGCACTTTTGAACTAAAAATTTAGTTAAATTTGAAATTATATCTAAAATTCTCCCTGAAGTGAATGTATACATACATTGACTTATGCCTACTTAGGACGGGCCATTTTTTGCACGATCGGCGGAATGATTGATGGTAGGCCATTATTTATGCATTCTATGCATTATAAAGCTATTTGCCTTATCGCACTTACTTAGATAAATCTGATATTCTTTGATTCCACATGGAATACCTAAGATGGCAATATAGATGGGAGAGAAAATTAACTAAATTATTGTCTAAGTAAATATGCAAGCACTTTGTCTACTACATTTTATCTTTTGCGATCTGAATACTTGCCTTGAGTTTCTTAAGTTGTTGCAATTATGAATTACTAGAAATAATACGAAAAACAACAGCTTTTCATAGGACCAAATAATGATTTTTCTGTAATCAGTCAAGTGATTCGGCATTGAACATATTTAGTAAGTTCACGGGCGGTTTGCTGCGTCTGTTTATTTTGGGTGCTGACACCGAGCGCATAATCGAGCCGGGTGCAGGAGCCGATAAGTGGCCGGCGCCAGCTTTCATCTTATGGTTTCTGTAGGGTTGACTACTGTAATTTAATCGTACGCAACTGATAGTGTCAAGTCTTAAATCAAAACAAGTAGATTCTGAGAAGGAAAAAGGGGTTTCTAATTTGAAATAGCAGCTCTGCTCGGGTATTTGTCATTTTGCTCAGACTTATTTCAATGTAGATGTAGACTTATGTAAGCAAGCAATAATAATGTAAATAATAATTAAGACCTCATATAAAAAATATTTGAACATATAAAGTTACTTTGAGATATGGGAAAAATATCGTCTTGTTCATGTTAAAGCATAATGTTTCATGGAATGAAATGCAATAATGGAAACCCTACAGAGGAATTTATGAATTTGTTGGGTGCGCAGGGCAACTGGGAGCAAGGGTCGCCTGCAACTCTCACACAATTTTTATGTTCCCCGATAACGGTTCGTTTCTCACCCATTCACATACTCATTTTTTTCCATATTTTTGTCGTAAGTCATGACAGTATTCATTGACTCGCCTAGTTATCATTCTATTTATCTGTTTGTAACTTTTTTCTTTAGTGAAGTAAATTATGAATAGTGTTTGTAGTAGAATTAGTTGACAAATTTATGTAGTGAGCTGGAGAACGTATAGTGCCTATACATTAAGTAAGATCGGCTAAAACATTAAGCATGTTTTATTGGCTTTAACTATGGAGTAGGGAATGCAATACTGGGATACCAGGACCCCGCATACATTTTGCGGGACTTACCTCGGTCTAAAACTTGCGGGATCCTGCTGGACTGGCGGGACTATAGAGAACCGCCTTTCATTAGTGTTATTGTCAGATCCTGATAGTGAGCAATTGCTTGGAGGAATCTTCAGCTGATCAAATGAATCGTTCAGCAATGCATCTGAATGTAACTTGTTTACTATCATCTGGAAATTTTTCACATAACGTCACAGATTCGATAATTTGGGGCAAGCGTTACTTTCATCATTGAGGAGTTCTATGGCATGCAACTACTAAATCCTCGAAGGTTACTTAAGCATATTAAAAATGGATTCAGATTGGTTGCCTGGTCTAAGTCCTATATTCTCCAAACATAACCAGGCCCTAGTCATTTAATCTACCCTTACGGCTGACAGGGAAATAGTGTTTCTATTTTTTTGGAAATCAAAACGAATCGGAGTAACATGTAAGTTATGTTGAAAACAAAGATTTAAAGCGTTGAAATTAAAACGTTATTGATATCTAACGGATGCGGAAACGGATATTGATATATACCCCCTATGTATATAAATTCCTTGTCACTGATTTGAAGTAAATCTTAGCAATAGGTATACATGCGCGACGTGAGCTATCAATTGCAGAAGCTGGCGCAGGTGGCGGAGTAACAAGCGTAATCTATTTCAAAACGTATTATTTGCATTAATATTTTTCCGTGACTTTTCCGATATTTTATTAGTTATTCTGTTATTCCAGGCGGAGAGGAATACAAAACTAAACTATAGAACTAATTACAATCTGTCCAGCCGTTCTTGAATTATAAGTGTTCAAACTAACACGAAATTGTTTTATATATTATATTTAGGTTGGAGACTACACGCAACCTAAAGCATTCAGACCGATAAGCCTCACATCATTCCTCCAGAAGGTGCTGGAGAGGATGTGTGACTGGAACTTGAGGGATGATGTTCTAAAGCGAGTACCACTTCATGCAAATCAACACGCCTACAGTTGGGTAAATCCACTGAATCCGCATTACATAACGTAGTCAGGCAAATAGAACGTGGATTATCACCAAAACAGTCAACGCTGGGAGTTTTCAATGACATTGAAGGCGCCTTTGATAAAACTAACTTTACCAGAATTAGCCAAGTATTTGTGACATGGTGTTGACCCCACGACTACATCAACAACATGCTGAAATGAAAAACACAGAGCAATACAAGCGAACGAAGAGAGCTGTAGTGGCACGGGGTTGCCCACAGGGATACTTTCTGTCTCCTCTCCTGTGGAATATTGTGGTTGATGAACTAATCTGCCAACTAAATCAACGCAACTACCACACAGTTGGCTATGCGGACGACATAGTGGTTCTCATAAGCGGGCCATTCCAGAGTGTACTGTGCAACTTAATGAGACGATAGTCGATAACTGTTGTACTAAACACCAACTATCGGTGAATCCGACCAAAACAGAGATGGTCATGTTCACCAAGAAACGTAACTTGGATGCTGTAAAATTGCCCAAGCTATTTAACACCGAACTGTCCATATCGAACGAGGTCAAATATCCAGGCAAAGTTCTTGACCATAAGCTGACATGGAACAGCCACTTAGACCAAAAAATAAACAAAGCCTGTATCACAATTTGGCAGTGCAAAAGACTACTCGGTAAAACCTGGGGTCTTGC